ACAAAAAAGCAAAGCGTGTAGGGTACCTCTGGCAGCTTTTTGTAACGGCGTTGAACCGCGATGTGCTGCTTTTTGGAACAGTTGCTGGATCTGTGCTGGCTGCCTTGACTGTTGCATTTTATCACCTCTCCGGCTGGGAGTTTTTGGAGCACGCCTACCTCTACCACCTGACCAGGAGGGATACCCGGCATAATTTCTCTCCCTATTTCTACATGTTGTACTTAACTGCAGAGAGCAAATGGAGTTTTGCCCTTGGGCTCGCAGCTTTCCTGCCCCAGCTGCTTTTGCTCCTGGTTGTGTCCATAGCGTTTTACAGAGACCTTGCCTTCTGTTGTTTCCTACACACCGCTATTTTTGTGAGTTTTAACAAAGTATGCACATCCCAGTACTTTGTCTGGTATCTCTGCCTTTTGCCCCTCATAATGCCTAGTGTTAAGATGTCCTGGCGTCGTGGCGTGCTGCTTCTCTTTCTGTGGTTTTTTGGACAAGGCCTGTGGCTCGCTCCCGCATACTTTCTGGAGTTCAAAGGATATAACACTTTTTTACTTGTATGGTTGGCAGGCTTGCTTTTCCTTTTTATTAATAGCCTCATAATTGTTCAGATTATTTCACATTATCAAAAAGAAACACAAGTTCCAAAAAAACTCAAACAACAGTAATAAACAGGCCGAAATCCAGAAACAGAGCTACTGTCTTTGACAAGGCTTTTCATAAATCCAGCACTGTATTTGATACAAACGCGTGCACATTGTACTAAAGCATGTTGTATGTGAATGATACTTTGTCAGGGCTGTGAGGGCACTGATTGGCCTTAATTGCCCTGAGCAGCCCCAGTCCTGCCCTGAGCAGTGTCTGCAGGTGTACCTGCTCCCACATGGACATTGAAACTGCATTGTAAGCTGCTCTCTGGCACTGCCTCCAGCCCTTACTCCCACTGCTCCTGATGGGACTCCCTGGAAGGACCCTGGACCAATTCATCACTTGCCACATTTGGGGCTATGATGGACCAGCATGCAGCTCTGCCTGCCATCCCCAGACACAGTGTGACTGTGAGAATGTGGTCTGTGCCAGGGTCACCCTCAGCTCCCGCTCGTACCTGTGCACGGAGCAGCCCCAATCTTCTTGCTCCCTGACACCCTTTTTGTCATTGTTGCTTTACTCTGTCCTTTGCTTGTTGAGGAACGTAGCCTCTGTCTAGAAAAACATAGAAGGTTATAAAGGGATGTCAGAGTTTGACAGTCTTCCACTTTCCAGTAAGTGGGTGGGGTGTCTTGCAAGGGTTAAGCTAATGAATAAATATAAGGCAATCACTTAATATGTCCACTGGGATTTATTTTTTCTTTTCGCAGTAATGTTTTAGCTGTACAGTGTTTGTGGCCTGTACCTGGTCTTTCTTCAGCAAAGTAGGAAAAAAGTGGTTATTTCATACAAGTTGTTAACTCAAAACTTTTAATTTATTTTAGAATTCAGATATGCCCACTCATTCAGATACTTATTTTTGCCTTTTCAGTGCTGTTTGAATTTTTGAACAGATGTATTCCCCTTGCCACAGAGCAAAATTTTTCCAAATACCTGTCTTGGATCACAGAGATATATAAAGCAAAAATATTTGTGTTCCTTGCTGCCATGACCTAGAAAAGAGGCCACTGCTTTAAACTGCAGTTAATTAACAGTTATTGTGGATGTTAACAGTAGCAAATGCAAAGAGTACAGCTAGAATGGCACCTGCATGCCAAAAGCACTAGAGTTTATACCAAAAAGTAATTGGAAATGTAGTTTCTCAGTAGTTCAATATATCTACTATTAAAAATAAATGAAAAAGAAAGTGAAAGGAGTTGAGGAAGTGGAGCAGTTGCCAGAAGAAAAGGAAAGTTTTAAAATAGGAAGCTCTATAACCTGTCAAAACGAGGTTTTTATTCCCAGATGAGACATGAGATGTGGAACTAACTGTCAGGTGGTAGTGAGAGGAGTTGAGAGCCATTTTGGAGTCAATGCTCTCCTCAAGAACATCCTACGAGAGGTCTGGTGTACACAGCCCTTGACAGAGGTGGAAACTGGCGATGTATTTTTTAGTAAAATCTTGAGTTTAAATAGGCATATGCCAAATTTAAGAATTTTCATATTTGCCTCAGCTCTTAGTTACATCCTACAGGCAAGTGAAACCTTTAGTGTATAACGTGGAGCAGAGCCTCAAGGCAAAGTAATTTCAGTGACTCGGTGGCATTCCCAGTGTTGTGCATGAGGAAGGATGCAGCCAAGCAGGTTTGCCTTCCAGGTCCGTGCTTCCCATGCTGCCTCTGTGAATCCTGCGTTCTCCCAAGACCGCTCTT